CATCCATGATAATGCATTGATCTGTTAATCCATTAATAGGTTAATCCATTCATGAAGGCAGGGCCCTCACGATCCAATCTCCTCCTAAAGACCCCACCTTTCAACACTGCCATATTGGGAATCAAGCTCCTGCGTGAGCTTTGGAGGGGACATTCAGACCATGGCAAATGTTTATGGGAATATCAAGTACTGGTGAAGTTGAGTGCATGATCTGGGCTGCAGGTATAAATTTGAAAGTGGCATCAAATCAGATTTTTTATTGCATATGATTAAATATGAAAATACTGATGTTGTTTTAAAAATACAAAATTATATGGAACAAGAACTGAAGGTTTTCCTTCATCCCCTTACTCCAAATCCACTACCCTCCCCAGCAGTAACCACTACTAAAGAGCTATTATGTGTTAAGAAACTAAAAAGATGTCTGAAGAATGCCCAATCCACCATATTATAGAACCAGAACCAACAACTGTTGTTCATTTCCACATGCATTTAACTGCATAAGAAAAGGTGTGTTAGAGTTGTACCTATATTTATGCATAAAATCCTATTTACCCATATAGTACTGAAATTTCTACTACCTTCTACCATAAGGGCAGTGAAGTAACAGAATTTCACAGCTGTCTGAAATAAAGAATATACTTGGATTTACAAGCCTTTTCTGGTGAAATTAAACTAATTTTAATTGGTTCTATGTTGCAATTTTTTTTTTCCTTAGCAATCTGGAATTTATGAGCTGAACAGTAACATCCATTTAAGAAATGTCATTGATTATAGAGTACAGGATACATTTTCAGCACCATAGTCATAACTCTCTAGACTCTAAGCTTTCATCTCTAAAATAGAACAAAGTTTCCATACCTTCCATTAGAAAAAGATAACCTTCAGAGTTTGAACTAATGCATTTCTGTTTTGTTGAGTTGGCAGTTACTCTATGCAGGGAAAGTAATGATGACTCCTCAAATATCCAGTGTCTTAAGAGTTTAGAGCTTCAGCTCTGATAAAACTCAATAGTCTTTCTACCTGTCAGAGTTCACTATTTCTCCCCTGAAATCAAAGAGAAAAGTTAATTGAAGATATTTCCCCCTCTCTGGTTTGATTTTTGGCGGAATTCTGCATCCAATGACATGTATCAGAGACCTCCGCATACCTGGGAGCCACGTCACTTACCCCAACTAGCTGCTTGCTATGCATTTTGTATCCATCGTGACAGCCAGTAAATAGAATAACCAAGAAAGAGTAGCTTACCATCCAAATGGGCCAGTAAAAACTTACCTTTAGGAAAAAAAGATCACTGTAGATGGTTCTCAAACCAACCAAACCTGGGCATTCTGCTGTGGAAAAAAATTGACTGTTCTCTATGTTTACTCTATGAATTTTTCTTGAACCTTTGGCACTGACTACTTTTACTTGTGAGATTAAAGAAATCCTTGTGACTCTTTTCTAAAAAGATTCAGCACATAGCAAAATGAATAAATGTCAGAAACAAGTATTAAAAGAAAAACTGAACATCAGCCAAGCGTATTTAATTCAACAACTTGATTTTTTATGGGCACATAAGCTTCCACTTGTGATTTTTTTTTATCCATTTTTGCTGGTAAACTGTCCCTATTTGCAGGATGAAATAAAACATACAAAATTTCCTGGTGCCCCGCCAAGTCGCACGTCACCTGAACAAATTAGAGAATCATGTTCTGTAGCCTTTGTTCTTCATGAGCAAACGGGTTCAAAGGACAAAAGAAAAGTCATATCAGACTTCTCTACCCTCCTTCTGCTCTCTACCCCACCCCTCTTCTCTTCCTTCTGGTGGTAGTTTTCCTCTGGGCTGTTTCTCACCATCCTTCCACAGCATTCCCCCCACCCACCATCCCAGTTCATACCAGAACAACCATAATAACCTTCAGATGAATTCCCATCCTATAGTCCCTGCCCACTCCAATCCATCACACACTCTTCTGATAGACTCACCTTTCTGCAACACAGATTTTTTTCAAGCCCTTTTCCTGTTCAAAAACGTTTACCGACTCCTTATTCCCCATTTAATAATGCCCAGAAGTCTTAGGTTCAGAAACAAATCCTCCAAAATACAACAATTTCTGGTCTTCGGTTAATATTTGAATGTAAAGGTTTGTCTGCACATGACTATGTTCAGCCAAGCACTCAAAAGAAATTTGGCAAGATATTTCTCACGTAAATGGAGTAATAAATCAGGTTAAAATGAATGTGGGGCTTTTTAAATAGCTGGCTCTCCTTTAGGAGGTGATAGTGGCCACCTAAACTTGTTATTGTTGTTACTGTTTTCTGTTCCCTTAAGGAACAAAGGGTGACTTATCTTGACATCTATGGATGTTTTTCCACAAAAGTAAACATTTTTTGCAGTCGTTTTCTTTAAACTTAAGATACGATGCTTGGTGCACAAGTTACTTTAGAAGATTGGGAAGGTCCCAGGAATTGGCCCTGAAATTATTTATTCCATTATTTGAAGAATGTTAATAAGCTGTCTCTTTTAAGAAGGAAAATATGTAGGCATAATCAACCTAAGAGAAAATGTTTTGAATAATTTAAAAATTCTCCTAGCTGACCATGAAAGGATAACAAATGTAATGAATCAATGTGTTACCATTTTCCACTACACTAAGCCATTGTCTGTCCTAATTCTCTATGCTCTTTTAAAACACACATGCACAAACACACATACACACACACACGCACACACACTCACGTACTCACACGCTTGCTGCTTTTAATGGACAAGCATTTGCAATACCTCTCAAATAAGCAAAAATCCTGTTTATGTTCTTGTCTGTCCCAGTTTATGGCTTCATAAGAATTTTTTCTTCATTTCAAGCACAAAAAAATACTGTCCTGATTCCCTTTTATGGCTGGTAGAACCTCTTCCTTGAACTCTTCAGAACTCTTTAGGGGAAAATGGACCTTTCTTTTTTGATCCCAGGGTGAAGTCAAAATGAAACTAACGGACTTAAAGGGCCCAGCATCCTTCATGTCACTGCCGACTTCTCATTCATAGGGGTACTTTGGGTGGCAGGTGGAGTTATAATTATAGACTAGAAAAAAGCAACATCAGCAGCTGTTGCTTCTATTTGTTCCCAGCTATAACTGTCATCAGTGGGCAAATTGGCATAAACAGGCCTCCACAAGTGGAAAAACATTTAACTCCTGTACTAGTCACACTCTGGGTCCTCTCAGTAGCCAGAGAATGGAAAGAAAATCTGACTGTGCATGAGGGAAGGACAAACTGAGAGCAAAGAACCGACTTGAAGGCACCTCTTCAGGGGGAGCCTGAACTTTGAAGATTTTCTTTCCTGTTGGAGACTCCAAACCAAATAAATAGGTTAGTGCACAGAGTAAACCTATGCATTTTAATTCTGACCTCTATTCTCTGTGATCTTAGGTTTTTTGGGTTTTGGGGTTTTCTTTGGCAAGGCTTGAATAGAAGGGTGAACTATTAAATGAAAGAAAGGAACGTTACTTGAGGACTGTTATTTAAAACTACTATGCCCATGAGAACAAATTATGAAATGAGCTTAATTTATTATGCTCCTCTCCCAATTTTGGCTGTATTTATGTTATACAAATAGACAAGGCAAAAATGGAAAAATGAAACTAGTTTTGTGGCTTAAGTCCCATCCTTTCATAATGCCACTTACTTATGCCAAAAGGCCTGGTTTATTCAAATCAATAATATTGAAGGCTAAGTTTGTGATTTTAAAAAAAAAAATGTTGTGAAGGTAGCTCCAGAGTTTCATTTCCTTAGGTAAAATTGGCAAATTACAGTTAAATTGTTTTCCCAGCTCTGAATAAAGACAGAAAATTTTCTTGTTTATGATAAAATGTGTGATTTAGGTAAGAAATCTGCTATAGAATTTTTTTGTGTTTGTCTAGCAAAATTCTACCTAAAAGCGCCATGATTTCAATCTAAGTAGCTCTGTAAGACTCTTCTCATAGATCTTTTTGAGAAAATCAAGATTTCAAAGGAATCTCATTTTATGTGCATATGCTCCATGTTTGCCAGTAGTTGAGCAGGATCTCAAACAAAGATTACCTTTGGTCCATCTATCTCAAAGCCTCAGTATCTCAGTGAAAAGTGATGGAATTCTGAAGAATTCACTGAAAACTAGGCTTCGGGGCCCAGTGCTCATCCTACCACATTCATGGAATGGATCCACATAGAAAGTCTGCTAAATAAAGGCCTCATTTTGTTCAGCTCCAAATTTTGTTCAGCCCCGAACAGAAAGTGAATCATCCATAAGCATTTTACAGGAGACTTTTCATCACGAAAGCATTCCTTTCTTATCACTGTGACCGGACTTTTTGGCTACCTTTTGAAGTGCATAGAGTGCTAACTATGTACTCAAAGATCCACTAGAGAGATACCCACATCCAATCAAAGCCACCAAAAGTAACCCATTGATTACATTCCCACAATGGCCTTGCTTCTTTCCAACAATATTTCCCAATTTCTAAAAAGAGAGCCATAACGTCCCCTTAGGAAGTTTAAGGATGAAATAAGTAACTCTCCACATACTTGAGCAAATAGAGGCCCAAACAATAAGTTTGGCCACTGCTTTTAAAAATGTAGATTAATATAGCATACCAATATTCTAAATCCTCCCATGGATTAAAAAATATATATGATAGGTGACATAACAACATTTCTCACATGTCTCATTTATTCATTCAACTATTTATTGAGCAATGGCTATATAATAAAATTTAGCACTTAAGGCAAGTTCAAGATTTCTAATATCACTTTTCTCAGAAACTCCTTTTCTTCCCTTTTCTGCTAAAAGATCTGGCATTAAGATGGTGGTTATCCACAAGTTCTAAATTACACAAACCTCTCAAGAAAGGCAAAAAGGGGATATGGTTGACTGGATTCTGGTTCAGGTTTCCTTTGATATAAAGATTTATGCCCTGTCTTAAACACTACTTTTTATTTGTGTTTTCTCTTCTTGCTCTTCTAGAAAAAACTATCCAAGATGACTGTCACTTACTCCAGTAAAGTAGCAAATGCGACTTTTTTTGGATTTCATAGGTTACTCTTCAAGTGGAGAGGCAGCATCTACAAACTGCTGTACAGGGAATTTATTGTTTTTGCTGTTCTTTACACAGCAATAAGTTTGGTGTACAGGTACTTTCCTTTGCATGTCTCTTTAAATGGCCATCAAATATTATGTAAGAATACAGTGTCAAAAATCTGAACCCTTTGGTCACCACTGACTTTTGCATTATGTCACCTCGTCCTTTGCATGAACCTCTCTGTTGTCTTCTCCTCAGGACAGGGTATTTTAATCCACTTCTAACTATTCTTAAGATGTTAAATAAACTCTGTTTGTTTCAGCGGGCTCTCATTCCATCCCACATTAACTGATCATGATGAAGTATAGTCGTGCTCCAAGAATGTTGCTATAGGCATAAATTGGAAGATTTATACTTAGATCCTTACATGTGATGATTTTTTTTTTTTTTTTTTTTGTCTTTTGTCTTTTTCCGTGTCCGGCAACGGATCGCAACCCTCAGTGTTGCCCCCGTACCGGACCGGGGACCGGCAACGGGATTGCAACCCTCGGTGTTGCCCCCACGCCTCGCTCAGCCAGTGAGCGGGAACCGGTCTGTATGTGGGATCCGAACCCTCGGGCGGGAGCGCCACCACGCTTCCCAAGCGGCGCACTATCCAGTGCGCCACCGGGCCGGCCCACATGTGATGATTTTGAATGGGCAAAGCCCACAGACAAATAGTTATTTGTGCTTCTCTCAACCATGTCATTCTGTTTGAATTTGTAATTTGACTACTCATAGAAACTACATATGTAATTAACATGTTCATGAATGACAGGTATCAGGCAACTTCTCTCCTTTTTCCTGGAATGACAGGATGTTATCCACAATGGTTCCCACCAACCTTACCAGTACCTCTACAGAAGAAAAGGCCTAGAGACTAATTTATTTTCTTTATATCGTCTGAGTTCAGGACATGTTATGTTCACAAAAGGAGGTGCTTACTCTTTATAACATCACAATCTATGCCTGTCAGATTGACAGAAAATTCAAGCAATATCATGTCCAAGAAATATTTCAGATTGACAGAAAATTTGAGTAATATCATGTCCAAGTCCTACTTTTATGACTAAAAATAATAGTCTTAATAAAATTTTATCAGTATGATAAAAGGGAATCTTTATGAGGTTTTTTTTTTTATTGAAAGTGAATGCATACATTTCTTCTCTGGTGGAAGCTAAAAGTTAACATAGGAAAGCTAAAGGTTTTTGAGGCTGTATTTCCACCTTTTCTGTGTACATCAGTTTGTTATTTTTCTTCTGCATACAGATGAACAAATTGGTGTATCATTGTTCTCACTGACATACTTCCTTGCAGCAACAAGACCCTATTTGGAGAAGAAGGATATTAATTTAGCTGGCTGATAATTATTGAAAGTAAAATAGGAAGAGCTATTTTGCTGCACATCAAAACTACCATTGATATACATTTTGGCAAAATATCTTTAGAGGGAAAGTCTTATCAGCACCACACTCTCCCAGGTTTTTTTTTTTTTTTTAAAGATGACTAGTAAGGGGATCTTAACACTTGACTTGGTGTTGTCAGCACCACGCTCACCCAAGTGAACCACGGGCTGGCCCTGAAAGTCTTAGTAAGAAACTCTAATAACTTTTCAGATATGTTGTATAATATGGTATTATTTTGACAATTTATTTTTGTATCACCTAAGCCTTGAGAATATGAACTGGTGGAAGACACAATGATGTTTCAGGATAATTATCTCATTAGTTTATTTTTATTAATGTGCGTTTATTGCTGCTACTGCTGCTTAGAATAGAACAGCCCTTAGAACAGTTGTAATGTAGCTGCAAACGTTCCTTGGGGCCTCAACTTTTGCTCCAATATCATACTTATACCCCACAAAACAGTATGCATACGTTTTCTCTAAAGACCAAAGAGTGCTTACGTTAATAGCAATAATGATTAGTTCAAGTCATCCTTCGTTTTTTAAAAATTCAACTATAAAGCCTTGCAAAATAGATCCTTATATCTTAATCAAAGGTACACCAAGAACTATGGGATGAATTTGTCAAGAAGTCAAACATACCTGTGCAAAAATATAAACATAATTCCGTTCTCATGTCTACTAGTGACCCTAAGTTTGTTTTATTAATCCTATTATAAGTAAATAATTGTACTTAAAAATCATGAGGCAGAACCAGAATTTATTAATTTAATTAATATCTCTTCCTATTTTTGAAGAAATTTGACAAAATAATCTTTGTAGTACTTTCTAGCTATTAAAATTTCTATGTGTCTATTAGCTCAATGTTTTTTCTTTGTCCAATTATTAATAATACCAATCATTTTATTATAACTAAATATGGGGCCATAAGTTAACTAGTTTTATATACATGATATTATTTAATCCTTACAATATTCCTGATATATAGGTATTATCCCATTACAAATGATAAAACTGAGGCTCAGAGAGAGCTCAAAGTCCAAATCTGCAAGTGACAGACCTGGGATTAAATCTAGCTTTGTCTGACCCTAAGGTTCATGCTTTCCACATTTAAATCCTTTTTGATCATTTCTGTTTGAGTATCAGAAATCGTTCTGGCTGTAACTTGTCATCAGAATGACCCTGATAGGCCTGTGCAACCAGTCAGTGCCTCTCTTGTCAGCTTTCCCTGACTTCAGTCACTCTGACACCTCCTCCAAAGCTGGGGCAGGAAATCCAAGCCCACCCGGTACCCCACACACCTTCTTTGTCAGTAGCAGCTCCCAACAGTTCTCCACCTGCCATCTGATTGGTTGCCCACTGTTACCTCATTATCCTTCTGCTTCCTTTATCAAAATTCTACTGACCAAATAGGCCTTTGATGCTGTTATAATGGATCTTTCCTAAGGTTCCTTCCTCCTTTGGAACAGTTGCACTCATTGATTTATGCAAATTCATCTGTGTGGGTTCTCTTTCTGTATTTTGAGCATTATTTTTAACCTCCCTTGAGACATTTCTTCTGACTCTGAATACCTGCCTACAACATAAATATCATAGCAATTCTATTAAATGCACTTATCTTTAACAATACCAAAAAATGTGTTTGGGCAGGTTAGGTCAGATCTATAATATAGATTTTGAGACAGTGACTAAATTTAATAATAAAAGTTTACACTTCTCATTGTTAAATCTGCTTTATTTTATGTTTCAAATAATGGTGGGCTTTAAAATGAATAGCTATAATATTCCTTGAAGTATAACATGTATAATAAAGAATGTACTAAATAGTATATTCAGGAGAAAGTAAGATTAAGAGGTCAAATTCAGGGTTATTATTTAACAATCACTGTACTGAATAATGCTAATCTACACTTAATCAATCCACCCTCTTTTGTTTAAGTATTTCTGATGAATAATTGAAAAATGGCCTATTTTATGACACATATTGTTTTAAATACAATGAGTCAGTCATATAAAACTTTAAAATATAAAATTTTAAAAATAAAATAGTTAATAAATCCCAGTATTTAAAGGCCAATAACATTTACGTACTAAAAACTTCAGTACTTGAAACATTAAGCACTTGAAAAGCTTTTGAGACACATCAGCTTATGTAAAAAGGAAAAAGTTATTTATTGTTCCCCTTAAAAAATAAGTTTATTTGTGCTTAATTGTTTGACCTTAATGTCACTTGCAAAGCAGGTCCAGAAGTATAATATCATAAAGGGCTGTGCATTTTATTTTTGCTCCAGATTGTTACTTACAGGAGCCCAAAAACGTTACTTTGAAAAATTATCAATTTACTGTGACAGATATGCTGAACAAATTCCAGTAACCTTTGTACTTGGTAAGTATAGGTCACATGCACAATGCAGCCACACTGCTGTCTCCTTTAGGATGACACTGATGACTCTGCATGGGAGTGTTTCCAAGCTGGGAGGCATGCCTGAAAAGCCACCGCTTGCAATAGAACCAGAATCATCCACAAGGTTTGCCTTCAGGGCTGCTTTCGCTAAATTAACACCAAACGAGTTTGAGGTAATAATCTGCTATTGGACAATAAGCTTTCTCTTCACTAACTCTCCATTTTTGCAGTCAATATTTGAGTTCTAATACCCACTTACTGGGTGCCCTGGCATTGCCAGGCACGAATAACATTTTTTCCTGGAGAGCAAAAATCAAGGTATGGATAATGTATTTTTACAGGCCCTAAAAAGGCTAAAATTCTGCTAAAAGCATCAGTGTCACCAATGTGTCTGCTGTAAGAAATCGCCCTATAATGTCCTATTGTTCTACAGGGTTTTATGTTACTCTGGTGGTGAATCGATGGTGGAACCAGTTTGTCAATCTGCCCTGGCCGGACAGGCTGATGTTCCTCATCTCCAGCAGCGTCCACGGAAGCGACGAGCACGGGCGCATGCTCAGGAGGACGCTGATGCGCTACGTCAACCTCATGTCCCTGCTCATCTTCCGCTCGGTGAGCACAGCTGTGTACAAAAGGTTTCCAACAATGGACCACGTGGTCGAAGCAGGTATTGTCAATGGCTCTTCCTTCCACAGGCTCTTCTCAACTGAGATAGAGTCCTCCAAGATTCCTTATATTTATTCATTCATTCCAGAAACATTTATTGACTGCCTCCTGTGTGCCAGAAACAGTCTTAAGAGGCAAAGATGAATAAGACACGGTTCCTGCCCTCAAGAAGTGTACTTGAGAAGTCCGGGAGGGGAAGCAGCAGATAGTTACATTGCCTTAAAGTAAATATAATCATCATCATCATATTTATTAAAAACAATCTGTAATATTGCCTTACAGTTTTCCAGCACTTTATAGTTTATCTCCTTTTACAGCTATTTCACTTGGACCTTGAGAAAACATGAAAAATGTAGAAAACATATTCAGAGAGGTTACAACCTGCCCTGAATTACACAGCTGATTGGTGGAAGAGCCAGAATTAAAATTCAGGCTCGAAACTCCTAAGTTAATACTTTTCCCAAAGCATAATAGATTCTGGTACGAACCAGCAGTGTCGGTTTTCATCCAGGCAGACCCTAAGAGGTGGCAGTAAATGGCCATTTCAGCGTGGATCTGGTGTCTCTCCTATGCCTCAAAGAAGATGCAGTCATTCTGCCTGGGCTGCTGGACAAGTATGCAGAGAACAAATCATGTTTGAAGGATAGTTCTCTTTGGTGTGTAAATATTTAGCAAAGAAGATGTTAGACCAGCCTTCAATAGGGTGAGGATTGAGGTGATTCTTGGCACATATAGATGATATAAGAACCAGAGATGATTGTGCCTTCATATTGTACAGTCTCAAATTAGGTGGCAGTATACAGCCTCCTTTTCTGAAATGTCCTTGAAAATAGACTTTTTTTTAAGAATAATTTTTTGTTGTTTTTGGAGTTTTTTGTTGGCTCTTTTTTTGTTTGATTTTGCCTTCTTATATGTGCAATATAGATAGTGACTAAGAGCACAGAGTAAGCGTTGAGTTCTTACTACGTTACTAACTAGCTACGTGACTTTGTGAGTTTCTTAACCTTTCTGTGCCTCAGTTTCCTCATCCATGAAATGAGTTTATAGTAACATAATGGCACCTACCTCATATACCTCATCTAGGCTTGTTATGAGAATTAAATTAGTCAACATTCGCAAAATGTTTAGAGCAGTGCCTAGCACGTGGTAAGTGCTACAAGGTTTCTTGCTATTATGATGAAATCATCTAGAACCGTAACACAGCATAGCACTTTGATCACTTTAGATGACTCATTGTGGATATGACATCCCAGGTCTTCTTGATCTACTTTGACCAGGATGTTGTACAAGTAAAGGTGGAAATATCGAAGGAGGGATGTACATTATGTTGTTAGGGATACAGAGTGAGATGTGAGAACGTAATGGGGTGCAAGGAGTTGATTAAGGATTCAGGTGGAAGGTATGAATGGCTTGGCAAATGCATGGGTTTATTATGATGTAAAACCAGTAGACACTTAAAAAAAATTAACTGCCACCCCTTCTCCAAATTTAAAAGGAGAATACTGCATCAGAATGACCAAGGTGAAAATGCTACTTGGCAACTTAATTTTCCTACCTTAATGTCTATAGGATCAAATATATTAAAAATTACCACCTCTGAAGAAAAACCTAAAAACAAAGTTTTGGCCCATTCCAGATTGATGAGTTAAAGTTGATTTGGATGAATAAAGGTGATATTTCTCTGGTTCTGATGCATCCTTGGAATGAAGCGAACACATTCTGACAGGAATCAGATGCCAGGCCCAATTCTCAAAGCAAATCTCATCCTCTTAGCGTCACCTTCATATTAAAAGCTCATCAGGAGGAAGGCAGGGATGACCGACAGTGGAGAAGCCTTTGGGGCCTCTGGTCAGGCGTGAGCTCAGAGGGCTGAGCTGTGCTCAGGGGTAGCGGCAAGCTGATGTGGGGAGGCGACTAGGAGAATGGTGTGACTTCATTTCCTTTGGGTGTATTTTTCTTAATACCAAGGCCTACTGCTTGTCAAACTTGTACTAATGTCTGTCATGTACTTGCATCCAGGTTTTTTCCCTTTCAAAGGCGTCTGGAATATTGGAACACCTCTCTCTCCCAACCACCAAAACCCCTACCATTCCAAGGGAATCTCAAAATGAGTCATTCACTCCTTGATGTGCATTTAGACCAGTATGTTTCAAGGTTGGATCCATAGACCCACAGGCCCTCTACATCTCGAGTTATTTATTCAAATGCGTATTCCTGGGCCCCACATCAGACCTACTGTAGCAGAACCTTTGGATGCACAGCCTAGGAACCTGCATTTAAACATGCTCCTATGTCATTTTTTTAGACACTGGAGTTTGAGAAGTACTGAATCTTTTCTGGATTGCTTATTTTTTAAACCTTTTTCTCACCCCTGGAGCAAAAGGCTTTGGCAACCACTAATTCATCACTAATAACAAAGTAGCTACAATTAAGAAGAGTAGATTCAAGGTTTCAGCCTTGCTAGAGGCCCCAGAATTTCTAAAGAGGGGCTTCAGGGCAGCAGTCCGGTCAGAGGCTACTGTCCAGGGGATTTGAATTAGCCCTGCGTGGAGGTCACAATCATCGCTCTGACTTAAGTTGTCTGGTCGGTTTGTTTGGAGTGGCTGAAGGAGGAAGAGAGCTGAGGGGGGTATAATGAGGCTGAAGTCTTTCCAGGCGTCCTATGAGACCCCTACTGATTATCTTCATTAAAAGGTTCCTGTTGCTCTCTTTAATTCTTAAGTGTTTTCCAAAAGGCAGAAAACAGGAAGTGGGCACAGATTTTGCCCGCAGGAATACAGGATTTGTGTGTTAGGTGGCAGGATAAAGATTCTGAGCCACTGTCCTCTAAGCTGGGAGAGATGCTTCGGGGGCAGCGCTGACTCGCCAAGCTTCCTGCTCCCTCCCCAGCAGAGAGGCCAGACTCAGAGTCTGCACGTGGGGTCCATTGCCAAGTTCTGCCAGCTGGGCACATGCCTACACCACTCCCTGACTGTCCTTTGCCTGTGCCAAGGTTTCTGGGAAGAACAGGAAGTTCAGGGATAGCGGAAAATGTTTGGCAGGTCCCCTGTTTCCAGAGCCAGGGCACCTGCTCCTGCCTGAGGGCAGAGAGGACTGGTAAGTCAAGCACAGGGGGCCCCAAAAAGGTGGGGACAAAAGAAGGGGGCAATGCTTCTTGTCAGTTGATTCCTCTACATAAAATCATCTGTAAGGAAAAGTACATGTTCTCAAACTTCAGTGCACATTAGATATTGTTAAAATCAATATTGCTAAAAATGCAAATGCCGAGATACCAGCCACAAAAACTCTAATTCAGTAGGTCTGGGGTGGGGTCCAGGAATCAGTATATTTAACAAGCTCCTGAAGACGCTGAGGCAGGTGGTCTCTGGATCACACTCTGAGAAACAGCAGGCTTTAAGGGAAACGGAGCTTCCTTCCCACCTCTTCCCCCTCTTACTTCAGGGAGGGTGCTTGCCGACATAGATTCAGTGCTGGCCAGAAGGAAGCAAGTGAGAGGGTCGAGAGAATGAAGACCAGCACCTCCTTCTGAAGCGTCTGGCAATTTCTTGCCTGGAGCTGGATGGTCACTTATCTGCTTGTCCCCGAACTTTTCTTGCTTTTAAGTTGGACAATCAAGATACATTATTCTGGGAAATAAAAAGACCAAAAAGTGTGCTGCCAGAGAAATATATGATTTGGTGTTATAGGTTAAATTTCTTGAATTAAAAATAAGAAGCTTTTTATTTCTGCACATATGAAAATAGAAAAACAATTGAATTCAAAATAATGTTCTATTATGCTAGAAAACCCTGAACTGGTCTATTATCAAAGTGTTATTTACCAGAGGGGCTGCAATATAATCTCTGTTATTTTGCCTACTGGCTACAAACCTGCCCTAGAAAATTCCAGTCATTCCAATCACCTGCCCTGGAAGCTATCACTCATTCCAAGTCAAGACAGGTGCACAATTTCAGATCTTTGCTGATTCAAGTGATAAACTTGGGTGAGTGCTTCTACGAAGGTATTTAGAAAGTACTTCAAAAAGTTTGTGGACAAATAGAATTAAAAAGATAATATAAATCTTTCCACCAACTTTTTGAAGACCCCTTGTGTTATGGCATCAGACTGAATCAAAATTTTATCTAGTGTTTCACAGGCATCAGGAAAAGAAAATAGTTCTCTTCAAAATTGCTTACCAGAAGAACAAAAATAGGTTATAGGAAATTATATATATTCCTCTAAAAAAAAAAAAATTGCCAAAGGCGATACCAAACCTATTATGTATGCACTTGCTCATTCAGCAAAGATTTATTGAGTGTGTACTATATGCCTGGCACTGTGCTGGGCACTGGGAACACAGCAACACTCAAGGACAGATAGCGTCCCTGTCCTCTAGCATCAGTAAAAATCACTACAAATCTTTTCTTCTATTAACTATTTTCAGAGACAAGCACAGACATTTACTGCTAAACTTCACATCTCTACGTTGCACTTCTGTCTCTCTAAAATAGATAGGTTCCATCTACATTTGGTAGCTCATAAGAGTGGTTAGAAGACAGTAAACTTTGAGGAATAGGCACCTTTCCCTTTTCTTAAAACCCTGGAATCTTAACATGAAGTTCTTTGAACTTCCTCTATGACTAAAGGGAGACCAATGAGACCTCATTAGAATTTTTAATGACACATGATTAACAGATCAACCAAGCCCCCACTTGTCAAGTGGTTGTTGAGATAAAAGTTCTAACTTTGGATGCACTAGCTGGAAGCCTAGCCCCATTGAAGTTTCTGGCATAGATATATCACTTAATCTGCAATTTTCTCTTTTTTTTCTAAGTAAAATCAGTTGGATTTTGTACATTTCTGCCCTGCAGTCTGCTGTTGTTTCTCCTGATGCATTCTGTGGCTCTGGGGCTCCTTGGTCTCTGAAATCTCCAACTGCTCTGTGTTACAGGAGAGATGATCAAGGTGGTATTCACAGCTGTGCCAGGTTTTCCTCTGTTGGCTGAACTTTTAGAGGCTGAGTCAGTTACCCCACTAGTCTCACATCATGAGCCCGGAACAGAGAGAATGTCATCCTGTGAGTGAAACTTGACTCACCTATGCACACTTACTCCACATAGGAGAGAAAGTGCACCACAGAACTAGCCCTGCTTGAGTTAGTGGCACGGATGGATAGTCTCCGTTGGTCAGTGTTTGAAGTTTTCCCTAAGTTCTGTTTTAGAAGTTAAATAAAGGCTATTTACTCAATGTTTCTCAAAGTATTATTATAGACTACATTCATTGTATTATCAAGGGTGATTATTTAAATTGCAGATTACCAGGCAGTCTAGGGAATTAGACTCTCTAGGTCCAAGGACCTAGGAATCCTCCTTTTAAACAAGTTCCCCAGAAACACTGCAGGCTGTTTGACCCAGACTAAGAATGCTGAAATGGCCAACACTAGGGCAGTTGTTCCCAAACTTTGCTGTACACTGGGGATCTTTTAAAAATTCTGACTTCTGGTTCTCACCCTCAGACATTAGGATTCAATAAGTATGCAGTGCAACCTGGATAGCAAGAGTTTTCAAAGCCCCCAGACCATTCTAATGTACAGCAAAGTTAGGAACCACTGCACTAGGGCACATCAGTTAATTCCTCCAATTTTATCTGCAGATTGCCTCAGATCTCTTCACTCGGGGCAAATGAAATTCTGGGCCAGTTGTGCAGGTGAGGCATAAAGAGCACCAATTTTGCATATGTTGTTTCTTGTGTGTCATTGTGTAGAAGGCCATGAACTGCCAAATGGGATTCTAATTTAGGGACAGGGGTATGGCTGACTAGAGATGTTTTGTTCATATCAGAAAAATAGAGTGTCTCTGTCGCCATTCAGTATTGCTACCCCAGAAACTGATTTTACACCACCATATCCTATTTCTGGCTTTTCAAACTGTGGGTTGTAACTCATTATTGGATTCTTAAATCATTTTAGTGGCTTGTAACCAGCATTTTTAATGGAATGGAATGAAATGGAGAATAGAATGGACTGGAAAATATAAGCAAGCACATCATGTAGAAGGGCCAATAATTGTTTTGTGAACTACATATATATTACTATGGTTCGTGGTTAAAAAAAAAAGTTTGACATACCACCCTATGTGGTGATGTGATTTGCCTCAATCTCATTTGCCTCTCCTTGATTTTCCCAGTTGACAGGGATTTCTAAACCTCTTCCATTGAATTTAAAGGACAGCTGTCACTGAAGCTGGTGACTTTGTTCCACTCATTTGGAAAACACAGAGATGAAAATGAGCCAGGCACGTTGCAATCTTCCTGAAACAGTAATCCCTCTGAGATGCTGGATGCACAACTTTCTCTTTCAGAAAGAACTGGCATCAAACCTATACTGCCTTTAAGTTTCGAGATGCAAAGCTTTACATTTTTCTGCTAATAGAGCCTCACTTGAATACTCTGCTTTAAAAGCAAAAGACATCTATCTCAGCTTCAACCAAGGAAAAATAGACCAACTATCCAGCAGGCAAAATCTATGATGACCAGAATTTTTTTTTAGCAATGGATTTAATTCATCCTTTGGCTTGAGGGCAGTAAAATTTTGCATTAAAGTAGCATATCTACTCCATCAAACCACAACTCAATTTGCAAGTAAATGCAAACATATGTCTATATGTTTATATCAATGGATATAATAAAGATATTTTACTCTGTTTAGAAATTTTAAGGAGGGTTCTTTGGGATAAGCGGTATGAAAATTGCTGAGCCTAACGGAGCCAGACAGTAGGAAAAGTGATAGCAAGAGAAACTCCAGGCAGATGCAATCAGTGGCAGGATAAAGTAGGCTAGGGGTGTGGATGGGGCGGTGGGGGCATGGCACAGAGACACTCATGAAGGGGACGGGGTGGTAGGAGTCCTGCCAACTGATAGGGCTACCAAATTGTAGCAAATCAGTCACCGTAATTAACATAGCTTTAGAGATGAGGATAATGACCATATTCTGAAAAAGACCATTGATCTCTGGTTAAAATGGCTTGAAGTGCTGAAGAGAATAACATTGCATTTTATAACAAATGCTCTTTGAATGGATTTAACCAACCATCAGAGATTTTCTTTCAACTCACCAACTTGATTTTCAAAAATGAAGTTACTCTGGGTAAGATATGTGACCCTGTAGGGAATAACAAAAATTATTCTACCCATACACTCTTGGAGGATACATTAATGTCTGATTCATCATTCAACTTTCACAACACCTAGCGAAGTACTCAATAAATTTGTACTGAATACTTAAAATCACCAGCTTTCCTCATTCTACTTGTCTCCTTCCAATCAATAGATGTCCTGCATGGAGGGAAGACCTAACTCTTGCTTTAGTGTTTGCACTAAATAAACCCTCACTCTGTGCATTTGCTTTCTGCTTAGAAGCCAAGAAGGGACTTGCCAGCACAATTTGATCCATACTCCTGAATAAAGAATAACCAGAGACAAAGTTATTCTGTGATCAAATGACAGAGATTGCAGCCAGTATATAAATGGGGTCATTTTTGAAAATTGAGCTATAAATCCCGAGAATACAACTGTTAGACAATTGATATGTAATATCTGAGTATAGGCTTCCAGTTAAAGGGAGAACAGCTGCAGCAAGTCTTTAAGCATAAAGCCGAGAGAGGTGAAGGTTATCTATTAACTTCTTGTGATAAGATTTAATCGTGCTCTGCAAGTCGTTAAAAAAAGTCATTGTCTGGATTGTGCAATAACTTTGAGTTGTACTGAGAAACAAGGAGAAAATTGCTGGGGTCATTTTTACTTTTTACCTCCAGAGAGTACCATTCTTCAGGCTTGAGCAGAACCCTTCTAAGTTCATATAAATAACCTGAGAATTATCTAAAACTAGTCTCTTGTTGGTTATATTGGCTTTGTAGTTGTTACTCTGTTTATTTCAAATACTGAATAAACAGAACCTTCATTCAGTGCGACAGTGATTTCCAGACATTGCTGTATATCAGAATTTCCTGCAGAACTTGGTAAACGTAAACTGCCTAGATCCAATTCCATTAAATCACCCAGGAAGATTTAAAAGAATGCTGATGCTGGACCTCACCCTACACCAATTGAATCAGAATCCCTGGGGATGAGGCCCAGGCATTGGTATTTTCTAAAAGGACCCACAGGAGTTTCTAAGGTACAGACCTGGGTTGAGAACTCCTGCCCTATTGAGTCTGATTTAGTGGGTCAGTGCGAGGCCCAGCTGTCTCCATGTTTAAAAGGTGTCACAGGTGATTCAGAGATCCACAGCCTGTGGACCTTATTCTTAAAAACACTGTCCTAGGTCAGGTCAAAGATCTAGGTAACTCCAAAGCTCTATGAATCGATGGCTCTCAGAACAGGCACATCTTACTTCTCCTTTGACATCTTTTCTATTATAACAACATCTCTTAAATAAAACTCAGTCTACTTGGTAAGGAGGATAACTTTCAATAGGATAAACAGATTTGTAAACTGATTAAAGATGTTTAAAGATATAAAATGTGTTACATTAGGGCAAAAGTTGATTTTCATCTGAATGTACTATCAGAATTTCATAATCAAATGATTGCATTTCTGAGACAAAAATAACTCAAAATTAATATCTATGGGGGGGTGGAGGCAGAGGGAAAATGGTGGCCTAATGGGTACAAAACCATGCTATCCATCCTAAGTGAAGCATTGTGCAGTATATGCATGTATTGAAACAACACGCTGTACCTCACAAATATGTACAAAATGTTTTTTAAAAAACTTTTTAACATACAGTAAAGTAGAAAAAATGACACAATAAATACTTGTACATACCTGTGTTAAAAAAATTACTATCTAATAAAAGTCAGCTTTTTACTAGCTCACATGCACACATTCCTTAGCTCTAATACAAGAATAAACTACTTAAAACAGGAAACTTTATTTTATATTTCTTTAATTTTCCCCATTATATGCTTACATAGTAGACACTGAAATATGGTAATGTATCAGTACTAAATTAAGTCTGTATAATCCAGCTATTTTTATTTTGTGTCAAGGTTTTATAACAGCTGATGAAAGGAAATTATTTGACCACCTCAAATCTCCTCATCTGAAGTACTGGGTTCCATTCATCTGGTTTGGAAATCTCGCAACTAAAGCTCGGAATGAAGGTAGAATCCGAGACAGTGTTGATCTGCAATCATTAATGACTGTAAGTACATCATAAACTATCAGTAAAAGATGCTAATTTGGGACCAAGAGGGACATGGATATAACAGGTCAGAAGAGGAGGAGTTTGCTTTCTTCAATCCTGGTTACAAAGGAACCAAAAAATTGAGCTAGTCAAAACTCTCAACGTGCAGGACAGAAATAGTACACGGGTTGAACTCAGATTGCTTGGTAGTGGATGCTTGGAAGCTGTTTGAAACAGCATTCTGCTTTGTGATAGGCTCTATAACAAAGTGTTCCTTGATGGATTAGCCAAGGGCTGCCAAGCGCTCTGAAGGATATGGTACCCAAGCAGCGTATTTGCCATCCTTAGCTTCAGGATCCTAGAATAAAATCTGGAGGAGAAATAAACCTTCCCACCCACTTCCCCAAAATTGGAATATCCCAAGATTAAGCCAGCTTTTCAGATGCTCCAGTAAGCGAAATAGTGTTTTCACTAGACAAAATAACCTGAATTCATGTGAGAAACAAATGTCTATAAGGGGTGGATGTATATTTTGTGCTGTGAGTCTCCTGCCTAGATTAGGCTGAAAGGAGTAAATGATTTTAAAATATCTCCCAAATTAATGTGATACTACCTTATGTGCAATAGAAGGAAAGAAATCAATGGATCCCAGTCCTTCTGACTCCAAAGAGAGAGAGATTTTCTGTCAATAGGAGTGTTCTAAAGTCCCCATTTGTGGGGGGAAAGGTTTAGGATGTATTTATATCTCTTTTCTAAGATCTATAGTAAGCATGTTTTAAAAAGAAACAAAAAAAAATTCTCCCCACATTATTTGCCAAAATAGCTAGAAATTGTTCATTTTAAATATTAACTATTGCCTTCCCATCACTACTTTGGGCCAATATACATGTTGGAAATTATAAATTCAATAGAATAGGGGATATTTGCATAAAGTCCTGACTTATATTAATGTTTAAACATATATGTGCAAATTGTTTAATGATGTTCATTGCTTGTCATTTTTAGAACTTTCCTTTTTGGAGTAGCCTTGGAAGCCAATTTACTAGCCTTGGAAAGTCAGTCCCATCATTTCACAGACATATTCACAAAAGATGTGCCACATTCTGAATCCCAGTAAATATTCATTACCACACCCATTATTTGAGTAAATTGTGTTTTATCTGTTTCTGGCTTAGGAAATGAATCGGTACCGCTCTTGGTGCAGCCTCTTATTCGGTTATGACTGGGTTGGAATTCCGCTGGTTTATACCCAGGTATCAAACACTTGGCATGTGATTTTTTTTCCTACTTGCCCACCTTGGCATTCTAGCTCACTGTGGGCAGCCAGCACTGTCCTTACTGGGTTGGAATTCCGCTGGTTTATACCCAGGTATCAAACACTTGGCATGTGATTTTTTTTTCTACTTGCCCACCTTGGCATTCTAGCTCACTGTGGGCAGCCAGCACTGTCCTTTCACTCTGGTTTCTCTCTATTCTAGGTCGTCACTCTTGCTGTCTACACCTTCTTTTTTGCGTGCCTGATTGGACGCCAGTTTTTGGATCCCACCAAAGGCTATCCGGGGCATGACTTAGATCTTTACATTCCAATCTTTACTCTCCTACAATTCTTCTTCTATGCAGGATGGCTCAAGGTAACCAACAGTTTCAGTGCCTGAGACCTGATCTGTAATCTTTCATGTTCCAAACTCTCCATGCTCATCCTTTACTGAGTCTTTAGCAAATCATTCCTGAGTGAGTCAAAGGTAGATTTAACATGTAATAGCTCAGAGATGGTATTACTTTGCCACCAGGGATTAAAGTGACAGGGATGTAGTCAGTACTATATTGCAGTGATCTGAAGCAGCTCATCTGTGCAGAGAGCTTAGAAGAACACTTTTTTATGTCTATTGATTTTTTTTAAGTATCTATGTGCTCCCATTAGGGTTACAATAATGTAATTAAAGTAATAACTGTACCTGCATTGATATTTTATAGCACAATAAGCAACTAGGCAGAGTAAAAGAGAGTAAACAAGAAGCTACATAAATCAGACTTTAGCATTAGTATCTTGGTTCTGCTCAACTCTGTAAATAGTCATTTGCAATTCCCTGAAATCCTAGCTGTCCCAGAGCATTAAATGCATCCCATTTTCAAAACCAGAACAGAGACTCAGAAAAGAATTCATGAGAATCAAAACCAGAAACACCAGGATGAATGACGACATTTGGTTTGCCAAGAAACTAAAAATTAAAAACAGGTCAGAGCAGTGAGAACAGCTTGTCCAATTATCAATGTAGAATTTTATTCGTGCCCCACTTCTACCTCCCCACATGTATGTGTGTAAATATCAGAGGCCTTGTTCTTCCATCTCTTTTGTAAATTTCCAAAAGGGAAGTGTGTGGTGGAAAAAAATCTCAAAGACAATGGATTGATTAAGTTAATTGAATTCTAATGACAGTTTGAAGATGACTTTAATAAAGTAGCATTTTCAACTGTTTGGCCTTTCAAACAGCCACATGTTGTCATGCATCATAGAGTTCTTCCAGGCTGCAGCAGAATTTTCCCTGCAGAAGCCTTTACTTTCATTGGTTTGAATCTTAACCAGGAAAAATAAATATGTTGGCATTTCAAATTATACTCCAAAGAGTAAAGGCATATCCCTTACAAATGTCAGAAACATTTTTTAACCAGATGACAGTGATTCTTAATTATTTTTACCCACTTAAGAGCGAGAAAGAGCAAGAGAGACTAATGGCTCTCATTTCCCATTAGAGGAAAAAGTTGACATTATCGTTGTAAACACAAAATCACCACAATTGGCCCAAATGCTCAATCATTCTGTTTTTGTTTTTTGTTTTTGTCCTTTCCCCAAGTTTTTTATTCTTTGCTCTGTGTCCACGTAAGGTGCTTAGCTGACCTCTAAAGAACAAATAGCAGTTCCTTCCTTCTGACATGCTTTCTAAAATATTAACATCCTTTTCCTTATAAACTATTTTTAAAAGGCAGAATATGAAAAGACAGTCTTAGCTCCATTAAGAGACAGGCAAAGCTGACGTAAGTGACTTTGGCCACACCAGTGGGTTGTCTCAAGTTCTAAACAGTTGTTCTATCTTGACAATTTGGATATTTATAAATCTTTTCAAAGTGTCGAAAAATCATCTTAACCTTATGAACAGTATATTTTTCAGTTTCTTTCTGGAAATGGAGCCTCCAGTAGAGTAAAGATTATCTGTTGGGATCATCAGTTTGGAAACGTAGGTGTCATTTTGTTAACTGGATGTAGACTATAAAAATATATGCAGGACTGATCCCATAAAAGTGAAATTTTCAGGACCCAGCCAGAGGCCCATTTAATTTAAGCAAAACCCCAGGCAAGAAAGGGTAGACAGCTCCTTGAAACTCACAATAAAGTACTTTGACATGGATGTCATGGTAAGGCTTACTGATTCAGGGCACAGCTCTGCCTAGAGCTATCACTTAGAAAAGGGGAGATGCATTTCTCTAAGTCGATGGTTCTCAACCCTGGCAGCACATTAAAATCTCCTGGGAGCTTTACTCAGTATTCAGTCCTAAATTCAATCTCCACCAGTTAACTCAATCTCTGGGGGAGAAACACGGGCATCAAGTTTGTTTTGATTTGTTTTGTTTTGTTTTTTAAGTTCCCCAGATGATTTTAATGCATAGCCAAGGTTGAAAACAACTGCTCTAAGTGGTTTGATTAAATCCTAAAAAACAAATAGGTAGATTTTTCTACCAAATGGGCTCAGAATCTGGAAAATCTAGACTCTAGAAACTAATCACATGGTACCTTTATTTTACACACTTTTTTTCATCTAGACCCAATGTAAAATTTCTCTCTCTCTCTCTCTCTCTCTCTCTCTCTTTCTCTCTCTCACACACACACACACACATATGCACACACATTCAGATAATAAAAATCAAAGGAAATCATTCAAAAAGGAGAATGACGGGCCGAGCCCATGGCGCACTCGGGAGAGTGCGGTGCTGGGAGCACAGCGGTGCTCCCGCTGCGGGTTCGGATCCTATATAGGGATGGCCGGTGTGATGCGCTCACTGGCTGAGCGTGGTGCAACTGGTCACAAAAAGGACAAAAAAAAAAAAAAAGGAGAATGACGGGCCGAGCCCATGGCGCACTCGGGAGAGGGCGGGGCTGGGAGCACAGCGGTGCTCCCGGTGCGGGTTCGGATCCTATATAGGGATGGCCGGTGTGATGCGCTCACTGGCTGAGCGTGGTGCAACTGGTCACAAAAAGGACAAAAAAAAAAAAGGAGAATGACAGGTGAGTCATATTTGACATATAAACCTCTCACCAAGAAGGCTTGTTCTATTCAGGAACATGGTAAGAATATTTAATATTGATCAAATATTAAAAGATGTGTGATAAAAAGTTACCTAAACTTTTGCTATTAGGAAAACTAACTTACTGGTTAAGGGTAAATTCTTTAGAGTGAAAATAAGTAAGCCTCAGTTTCTAGCTTTATGCCTTACCAGCTCTCTGACTCATTTACTTAGCAGTTCTGTCCAATAATTGTGAAAACTCCTTATATTATTTTCTTTAATTGTAATTTGTCTTTCTTTGCTGTTTAACCTTCTCAATGTATGCATTTTATCTTATCATCTGGGCCCTATAAATTCCTTGAAAGCATAGGCTATGTACCCCTCACAGTGACTTACACATAATTGGGGCTCCTTCAATATTCATCGATTTTTTTGTACTGAAAATCAATAATTTGATTATTACAAATGATTGATTTGTAATACAAACGGTACATGGCTCCTAAACAGTACATGGCTTCTCCTGGATAGGGTCTGCATTGTCACCAGTTGAATAGGCAGATCCATTTGGAGAGCATGCCGTGAAGGTGCAGTATTCATGATTTGAGAGTCAAGTCTCGCTTGCTAATAAATGTCTATATCTGTAAAACAACACACTGCCCTCTAGGCTTCATAAATGAAAGTGACAGAAGGAAGCAGGAAGTGAAACAGGAGTCATCTCCAATCTCTGTTCTTTGTTTTCCAAGCAACATGACAGATTTATTCTGTGTTCTTTCTCAACTGCAGGTAGCTGAGCAGCTTATCAACCCTTTTGGAGAAGATGATGATGATTTTGAAACTAACTGGTGCATTGATAGAAATTTGCAGGTTAGAGAAACTTTTCTTTCCTTTACAAACATTAATAATAATCACTTATGTTTCAAATCTAAACAGACTCTGGATGCAGGCCCCTGGACTTCAGAGCTTTAGACACAAATAAAAAAGATCTGGCTTTTCAGTACTTTGTCTCAGGTCCTTTTAGAACTTCACATGCCCTGGATCCAATGAAATTTAGTTCCTTTTAAATAGAATTTCAAGCCAATTTTCTCTGAAGATTTCTCTATTAGCTTTACCCAACCTCTTACATCTCAGAACACTATTATAATTCATTCTTTAATCTGTTTCCTATTGCCATCTATAGAGGTTAACAGTGACATAAAATAGCATCCAGACACAATTGGGTGTGAGTTCCCAAACTCATATCACATAGATTCCAGCAGTCAGATGCCCAACAGCTGGACATTGGGATCCTGGGCCACGCCAGGCTCAAAACTGTCTCAAAACTGCCTGAAACACACCAAGTGGGTCCCAGGGCCCTAACCTTGAAAAACTATCCTAGACAGCTTTTCATGAAGGACCAGCATGAGGGAATTTTCCTTGTAGGCAAGACTCTCCTCAGACCAATCTCTTCCCTGAGAAACCACAGTCTAAGGCCTTCACCTCATTCATTTGTTCCAAGCCCTTCCTCAGCAATTAGGTTCAAACATTTCACAGTAGATCTTATCATCAGTCTGTTATGGAGGAAGTGCAGTGCTTAAGTCACTCACTCTTTGTCAGAATCAGATTCCCAGAGGATTAATAATTTATTGATGCATCACTTTGTCAAAGCCAAGGGCAAAGATCACTACAGCTTCAAACAGTCTAGGCTTGTTGATATGCTTTTCCAAACAAATGAAGAAGAGATTGGGGCATATAAGAAGGTTTATCAAGTAGAAATATGTTTATGGGGTTAAGAGAATGGAATACTGAGAATCTTCACCTTCCTATAATATCTGGGTTTAAGTGTTGCTGTCCGGGTAGCCACTAAGACAACACTGTAGCTGTGAGTAAAATAGAAAAAGGTGTCTCTGCTCTTTCCAGGTACCATGCAACTTCACTCTGGGGCATGTGGCTTGATGAATGTAGTGTGGGCGATTTTACATCCCCACTTACCCCCACTGCCACATGCTCTTGAGCAGTAAACAATGGGTACAACTGTCTGTAGCAGCTCTGGTTGTGGCAAATATGAACCGTAGATGTTTGTATATTCACTCACTTAGACTGTCCTGTCCCTCTGCAACTCCCATCCACCCACTGGAACTTCTCTTTTTTATGTAATTCACATCTGAGTTATTCTAACAATATAAAAATGATTTTAGGTCTCTCTTTTAGCTGTGGACGAAATGCACATGAGCTTACCCAAGATGAAGAAGGATATTTACTGGGATGATTCTGCCGCTCGACCCCCATACACACTGGCAGCTGCTGACTACTGCATACCCTCATTTCTGGGGTCAACAGTCCAAATGGGGTATGTGCACTTTTTAAAATCTTCAGTATTTAGAAAATAAGCAGGTCATTCTTCCGATTTTTTTTTTAGCTTTTTTTCTAACTGCACATCGTGTATATCAGTCTCCCTTCAGTGGTTTTAACATGACAACCTGTCCCTATGAACTATGAGCCTTAAAGAAACAGGTTGAGGCATAAGGTAAATCATGAACCATTCTAGAATAATTTTATTAAATCTGATAATGTATTTGATTTTGGAGAAATGTGTGACCGTGAAAGAAGTTTAAATATATTTACCAAAGGCAGATGTCACAGTTTCCAAGTAACTTAAAGAGGAGAGCTTGGACAAATTTAGAAAGTAGGAACCCCATCCCCACCCCCAGAAAGAAAAAAAAACTGTAGAAAAAGAGAAAACTTCCGTGGAATTTTCTTATAACTTTTGGCAAAACTGTGGCTCATTGTTCCCTGAGGCCAGCTCTAAGCATACTTTTAAAGGGGGTTTGTGTCCTGTAGTTGCCACCTACAACCCTTCTTGCTCTTCGTTTTCCTCCTCCCCCAAATGTTCTGTCATCCTCTTTCCCTACTTTCAGGATATCTAGCTTCAATACTATTCCTATAAAGCTTTCCTCTTAGCCGAATTTCTCCTAATGTCTTCCAAAGGGGCCCTCAAGGCTGAAAACCATTCAAGACTCACAGAAAAGCATGACTGAAAGTGGAATTTCAGGAGTTGTGGCAAATGATGAGAAAGATTTAGGCCAGGGGATGTGCCTTCTTGCCCTCAAAGCACACCTTAGAGAAGGTGACCTATTCCAGGCCAGACATGCTTCTGATTATCTAGATAGCCTTCTAGGATTGGACCCTCCCATCCAGAGCTTCTTCCAGGGAGCTCATGCTACTCCCAGCCGACTGCTCAGGCTCCAGGGATACTGTTGCTTGCACTTCTCAGCCTTTGTAATACCTTCTGCAGTTGGCAGAGCTTCTCAGATATCCAGCAAACTTCTCGACTTTGAAAATTAATGAGATGTTTTTCTGTGAGTTTGCTTTTAGATAATTAAATTTGCTTTATCCTTCCCCACACATACACTCTCACCATTGAATAATGCAAAGCATTTGAAGATCTAACCTGTAAAAGAGACCAACATCATTAACAGGGTCAGGGAATCCTTGTGAAGGTTCTGTTTAGACTGCAAGTGCTCCATATGCCCCATTTCTAATGTCCATTTAGTTGTTTTTGTATGGTGATTAAAATGATTTTGGAGGGTCTCAAGATTTTTATCTTGATCTACATATTCATTCTAATCATCATAATTTTGCAAATTTCTAAGTAAATAGTCTATGTTCTGTAGAAAGTATTAAAACATGTTTTTCCTATTTCTAAATATAGTATTAGGGATTCACAAGATCCTGGAGAAAATACCTACCCCAAAAGATTATTGGGAAGATTAAATGAGATTATAAACATAAAAACACTCAAGATATAATAATAAAGCATTATTTTATCAGTTAGTCAGGTCTCTTATTTGTGGATGTCAAACTGAGGCACAGAAAGATTAAACAAATCTAAGCTATTTTTCATATTAAACTAACCCTGGAAATTTGGGACAGAAAATAAAAAGACTGAGAGAAAACCAGGAGATATGAATATTTAAGACTGCGGCAAAAAATGATCCATTGTCAGATGGAACTCCTCTAATGAAAATGGCCTGTTTACTCAGCCAGAGTCTACTGGGAGGGTTTTTTGTGAGGTATTTTACTGGACTCTGCTAGAACCAGCTGATCAGAGAAACAAGTAAGCAAAAGCTCACTTGATCATTTTCTGTGTGAATGAGGACCCTTAAAGAGGAGCCTCCAGGAAAAATCACTGCAGGAGCACAAGCTACTGGAAGTCATGCATTCACAGGAATGCCTTTTTTGATCCATTAGTGTCTATTCTTCCTATGACTGTGGTATTACACAAAATATTTCTGGTTGCCTGTGACAGACAACCAAACTCAAACTCACTGAAGGGAAAAGGAGTTTGTTGGGTCACATCCAAAGACTAGCTTAGCTTTGGGTATGATGGGATCCAGAGGCTCAAAGAATGTCTCACTTGTGCCCTGTCTCTCTCACTTCTGCTTTTCTCCCCAGGGGCTCAGTTTTCAGGTAGGCTCCCCCTCCTGATGGCAAAATGGCAAATGGTATCCAGCAGCTCCAGGCTTACAGCTTTGCTTCTCAGTTTACCCAGTGGAAAGAGCATGTCTCTTTTCTAACTTTTAAAACTAAAGTACTGGATTTGCTATGATTGGCTGGGCTTGGCTCACATATCCAGTTCTGAACTGATCACTATGGACAGAGAGACAAAACGTTTTAATTAGTCAGAGCTGGTTCATGTGTCTGTCCATCTTTGAGCTAAGGGATGTAGTCAGCCCCATCCAACCATATTGGAATATGTGATGTCTCCAGAAAAATCAGGGTGCTATTGCCAGGAGAAAAGGGAATAGTTTTGCTGGGCTGGCAAAAGTGGTAGATGTTCTCTAAAATTATGGAAGATAATTCCGTAAGCAATGAATTGTTTACTCATCAGATAACAAGGTCAGTATCAAGTAAGCCACCTGACTGAGGCTCAGGGAAAACGAAAGGTAAAAATAAAGATTATGATAGCACAGTTGGTTTTTTTGACTACAACTCCAGTGAGCTCTTTGCATTAAGGTGAAGCCCAGATGTCAAGATACTGTGCATGCAAGCATTTTGTACATTTTTTACTTTCTTATTCTGTTTAGTTTGTATGTTCCCAGCATATTTAATTCAGAAATCAAACTTCCCTTATCTTTTTCCACCAATATTTCATGTTAGTAGTCACAATTCCCATGACCTAGAAATTCTAAAATCAAGGCAATGCCCTTCAAAAACTGAGCAAAAGTACTATCCAAGGGCAATCTGAGAAATCACTCTGCCTCATACTGCGCACATTCAGAAATGCTTTTCACATTCAGCACACTAGGAGTACTTACACATAAAAAGGAAACCCCCTGGTCAAACTTCCATTGTTCTCTATATTAGGGAACACTTCTAAACATGCTTCAAAAACTGAGCAAAAGTACTATCCAAGGGCAATCTGAGAAATCACTCTGCCTCATACTGAACACATTCAGAAATGCTTTTCACATTCAGCACACTAGGAGTATTTACATATAAAAAGGAAACCCCCTGGTCAAACTTCCATTGTTCTCTATATTAGGGAACACTTCTAAACATGGCCCTATTTTCTGTGTATTTACTAAATACACATAACTGAAATAAAGTTAGTTTTTCCCCCTTTTTTATCTTAAGTACAAATTTAAAATAAGTCATCCCTTGTTACTTTACATAAGAAATATACTCATTCATTTATTAAGGTAAATTATTTTCAGGGCCTATTATGTGGTAGGTTCTATGTCAGATGCTAGAGATAGGCAAAAAAAAAAAAGAAAAAGTTAAAAAAAGACACCTCTTAAGGTCACAGACATAATGAGGAGACAAGATACAATGCAATGTAGTAAATGCAGTAGTAGAGAAATGCTCAGGGTCTTATGGGACCACACACAGTGAAGATATACTTCACCCAGCCCGGTGAATCAGAGAAGTCTTCTTCGAGTTGGAGGGTCTAATATGCATCTTTAAGAAGGAGGTAGGAGCCAAAGGAGTTAAGAATAACTGGGTTATCACGAGTTATTAACCACATATGATAGAATATATACAGGGGAGAGCTGCTCTAAGGGGAAATGATGAGTTTCCTTTTACATGTGTTGAATTTGAGGCATCTGTGGTCAACTCACTTGGAGATGGCCAGCAGGCAGTACGTAAAGAGACAAAGTCTAGGCAAGAGGATGCATTTGACTGTTATCAGTACATAGAGCCCTAAGAGTGGGTGAGAGCGCACGGGAACAGTGTTGAGTGAGTAGGGCAGAATGCAAAGGGTGGGATACAGGTTGAAATCCTGTATCTGAAATGCTTGGGACTGGAAGTGTTTCAGATTTCAATTTTTTTTTGGATTTTGTAATATTTGCAGAATACATACCAGTTGAGCATCCCTAATCTGAAAATCCAAAATCTGAAATGCAATGAGCATTTCCTTTGAGTATCATGTTCGTGCTCAAAAAGTTTCAGATTTGGGAGCATTTCAAATTTCAGATCTTCAAATTAGGGATGCTCAACCTGTACTATCACTTAACAGGTGGTCAGAGGAAAAGAAGTAGTCAAAGTAGGAGTGGTCAATGCAGATTCAGAAGACCCCGGAGAAGGCCCTATCCTAGAGGCCAAGGGTGCAGAGTTTCAAAATAAAGCCTGAAAATACCATAGGCATTTGCATTTTGATGTCATTGGCGACTTAACCGTTAGTGTTGGGGCAGAAGCTAAATTGCAGTAGGTCGAGGAGTGGCTGGGAGATAAGGAGATCAAGACTGCAGTATATTTAAAAAATAATTTTATTATTGTGGTGGCACAGAGATTATTTGGTCAGAAAATATTATCTTTCATAACTTCACAAAAGTTAGGTAAGCATTAAAAAATATGAACTATAACTAGAAAAATATTAATGTTGTAGAAACTCATTATTTTTAGAAATACTTATAAAATAATCTTTAAAGGAATGGGACAGTTATCAAAATGCTAATTTTGTAACCTGGTCTACCTCTTCAAGAGAGAAACAGGGTACTCTGTGAAGCATCACTCAACAATGAAGAAGACACTAGCAAAAGCAGATAGAAACACCAACTTCCCCTGCTCTGTCCAGCTTTTCTAAGCACAAAATACACATTACTGCCCGGTAGTCATCATGTAAAATCAATTTCTCCCTGAATTCCTTTTCTCATTCATATTATAATATCAACAATTCAGATCTCTTAAGAATTTGTTTCTGCATACTTTTATTATAAATGTACATGGTATGACAACTGTTGAAACCTAAAACATCCCATTCACAAAATAAGCAAAGACAAGTTGAAGCTGAAGCATAACTAAAAACATTCCTTGATCCTTCCTTTTCTCGACATTTAGTATTCAATC